ATTTTTCTCTAAAAACACAAATTAAAAAAAAAAAAAAAACTTTTCCACCTTAAATGCAAATGCCAAAAAACTGCTAAATTTTTCTTTAAAAACACAAATTAAAAAAAAAACCAAAAAAAGCCTCAAAACCTTTTCCACCTTAAATGCAAACAACAAAAAACTGCTAAATTTATATTTTGTTAAAACGCCACAAGTGCGAAGGCCGCGCTCACCTTGATCCTCTCCATGGACGCCTCGGCCCGGAGCTGCTGCACCGTCCTGCGCGCCTGGGCGACGCTGCTGCCGCTGCCGCCTGCTTTTCCCGACATTTCCATGGAATTCCGGGAGCACGGAGGTCCTGCCTGGGAACACGGGCGGTTGTCAGTCCAGTAGGCAGCACGGTACCCCGATAAAGTGGTTTTTAAACTGAATTATTGTTGTATTCGACCGGAGCGATCGGTTAAAAAGCAACTTTTTAATCTGTGCTGTGGGATTTTCGGAGCAGGGATGGATGGGGCAGCCGAGAGGTGTTTGTAAAAGATTTTATTCCATTCTCGGCCTCGCGAGGAGGGTGAGACAACACGGTGCCACGCACGCCGTCCCGACCAGAACTGGATTGTATGCCGGAGAATTCCCTACAAATCCATCTCCCCACGTTGTGGAGGTTGGTGAGCTGTGGCACAGGCGCTGGATCCTCCCTCTGCAGCTTGGCCCGGGGCTCCGGGGATGCCAGGGGGGTCTGGAAAGCCACGGAGTGCCCAGGAGCTGCCCAGGGCACGGACAGGATCCGGAGTGCGGCGAGCCAGGCTGGAGCCACGGGACACCGAGGCTGCAAAATTCCATGAGCACGTCCAGCCCAACCGTGCCCAGCACTGCCAGGGCCACCAGCGCCCCGTGTCCCCAAGTGCCACAGCCCCAGGGCATGAAATCCCTCCTGGCGTGGGGACTCGGCTGGGCCAGGGCTGGAGAACCTTCCTGGGGAGGAATAACATCCTGTCCTCTCGGAATCTGAGCTATTGGTGATCCCAAGATTGTAAAAAGTCTCTGTTTTTTTTGCTTTGTTGCCAAATCAAAGCCATCATTGGTCTGTGCTGGTTTCCAGGTTGTTTATTCTGTTTATCTCTCACATGTTCTGCTGCCCTGCCCAGCTCTGTCCTGCAGGGCAGCGTGTGGGGCTCTGCCCTCAGTGGGATGTGACAAACAT